TCATGTACAAGGTAGGCGATACCAGATCTGATACTGTGGTTTATGGTTTCATCAAGGACCTAGGCTCCTACTATCTATTTTCAAGGCCACATCATGGCCCAAAAATGGCTGCTGGAACTCCAGTCATCCTGCTTGCATTCTAGACTGCCGTAAAGAGAAAAAAACCAAAGAGCAGAAAAGGTCTTCTCTTAAATCAAATGGCTTCTTTTGAACAGCGTTCATGGAGTCCTACTGATACTTTCACTCCTATTTCATTGACCATAATTTAGTGACCAGTTTAGCTTCAAGAAAGCCTGGAAAATGTAGTGCCTTATATTGGAAGACAGTTGTGCCTTGCTAAAAATCAGGATTCTTTTCCTAAGGAGGAAAAGAAGAAAGGAAATGCTGTGCATAATCATTCCTCTGTGCCACACAGGTAATACTAGAAAAGCAAGGGCTTCAATATCCTTCCTTTTCTTTGTTATATGAAAGGGCTTCACAAATTCTAAAATATTTAGTCAATGAAATCTGATTTATAAGGGTATGTAAGTGTTTCAAGTGATGCAAAGATAATACACTATTTGCTGAGAACTTAAGTGAGCAAATGAGTATTCAAATCATAGTTCTTTTTCTCCTAATAAATAAACGTCGTGACTGTACACCTGATTTTTAAAATGAGACTATATAGTCTAGCCTCTCAACTGTGTCTTAACAATAGATCAGAATACTTAAAACTGTGAAGTCATTTATGCAATGTATCATTAAGCCACTTTTTGCTCTGTTGAGAATTTATTCAATTGAATAAATATGTAGACGGTGTCTGTACTGTGCTAGAAAATACCTTAAGACCCAGCAAAAGGGAGAACAGCACACACTATTTTTTGAAAGAAAAAAAAGAGAGAGAGACAATCCATTAGGATGCAAATTTCATGAGGACAGGAACTTTTGTCTGATTCAATTCTATAACTGAAGAATCTAGGACAGTGTCTGGCATACAGTAGGAACCCAATACATATTTTTTAATTAAATGAATGAATGAATAAGCAAATTCATCCTAGACAACACGCCACTTACTCTAAAAAGATATATATTGGAAAAAATACCATAAATAAACTCAAAAAGCATGTATATGTCTGTTTTTATAAAGTAGGTGTTTCTGAGAAACAGTTTATGAAATCACACTTAGAACTGACAATTTAAAGGTGTCATATGAAGATTTATTTTATAAAACAAAGAATCCTTTTATAAAGAGAAGAAGCACTCTTATTTGTTTGACAAATCCAGATTTTTAAAAATGTAACAGTTGCATAACGTGGCTCAACTCCAGGTTGAGAGAGAACAGATTATGAATTAAAACCAACATATAGTTCTGAAATATCATATTCATTCTACAAAACTGTTTTTATCTATGACAAAGTTATACACTTGAAGAATTAATGAGTGAAGAAAGGGTTTTTTCCTGTCTTCTTCCTATGAAGTACAAATCAAGGGAATCATTCTAAAGATATCCCTCTGTCCCCCATGCTCAACATCCGACCTGCTAATTTTATATTCTAAATATTTCTTGAAAATTCTCTTCACTACTACTACTGTCATGTCTGGATGAAGACCTTAGCACCTTCTCTGAATGTCCCAAATCAAACACACATTTGATCATGTTACTGTTCTGTTAAAATCTTCAATGGCTCTTTAGCAGCTAGTGACACTCCGTAGCATGACCTGTGACATCCTTATGACTGCAGCATCTTTATTTCTCTAGCCTTATCTTGCAAGATTCTCTGCCGTACACTTTACAACATTAACCCAGTTCACTGGGTTTGATTTATGCACCCTCAGGAAGTCTTCCTTGACTCCCAGAACTGGCTTTGTGCTACTTCACTGAGCACCTATGTCCTGGTGAACACACCTCTGTCATAGAACATTCCACATTATACCTTATCCAAAGGGCCCATATTTCATGGTGTCTGGCATCTAGTAGGTGCCCAATAAATCATCAGTAAATTGAACTCAGCTGAGAAAAGTGTGATCTCCAGGGAACACCAAGTACAGTTTGTGATTATTATTTATTCTCTTTCTCCCACTACAAAACAATGAATCTTCAGGTGTCCCCAGAGGTATGCAGCAGAAAGACACTCTGAACCTTTTGGTTTCCCATACATGTGTCCTCCAACAACCATTTTATTATCAAACATACAGCATTTCTTATTGGTGAAAAATAAAACTTCCTAATGTGCTAGAGAAGAGTGGTTAAATAGTCAAAATGTGTTGGGATTCTTCATTTGTGGAGGTATGGATTTCTGAGATTAATTGCATTTATAACCTTTGTGTTATTCACTAGCCAAAGGAATCCAATTTAAAGGTTAGTGCTTAACTAAGTTCAACTTGGGGAAAGTAGAAGAATCAGTTTTCATCATTAATGTCTAATCTTTCCTCTCCCCTAAATGTAATGAAAACAACAAATAAAAAACTTAGAGTTCCTCAATTGACATTTATTCAATCCATTGGAAATGTCATTGTGTTGGTAATTTTAAAATAGAAGAAACTGGAGAAATATGTTTAAAATCTATTTAAAAACACAAACAAACCACAGCATCCCTGAAGGCAGGGATCATGGTTTAGGACAAGGGAGACTTGGGCTGGGCCTGAGGAGGCACACATTGTGACATTAAAAATAAGAGGTACCCTTTTCTGAAGCCTTACCCTGTGCCAGGTCCAGCACTAGGTGCCTATCAGCCCTGTAATGAACAGAGGACCCATGGTCAAGTTACTTGACTTCGGCTTTTTGACCTTTTTGGGAGTAAGAACCTGCGTCTGGGAGTTTGGGAAGGACCGGGCATTACTGGAGGAGAGCGGTTTGCCTGCATAGGGCCTGCTCACCACTAAGGAACAGTTGTCCGGCCTTCCTCAACAGGCACACTCAGGACCTGGCCCCCTGCGCCTGCAGGAAGAAGAGGCCCTGAGTGGTACCACCTGGTACCTCACTGCAGCTGTGCCAGCCTGGGCTGGAGAACGTCCTGGGCTGCCTTGGTTGAGGACTGGTGCTTCCCCATTCTCATCCCTGCTATCTCTGGCAGACAGTGACCCCATGGAATATCTTCAATTCATCACTCATGGGGTGTTGTTGGAAGAGCAGTTTATGGGAGTCAGACTATCAAGAGTATGGGCTCAGGATGTATGAAGTCAGATAGCATAAAGGTGGCTTTTCAAATTGATGGGGTAAAGATTCAGAAGATAATGAATGATGGCACAGCTTCCAGCATTCTAGAAAACCTTGAATATGGAACCATACCTCACTAATCACACTAAAGTAATTTTGAGATGAATCAAAGAATAAGATGTAAAAAAAGTAAACTACAGATCAATTTTTATGTAAATTTGGGAGTAAGGAAGGACATGTTAAGCTTAACAATAAAAAATTAAAAGAGTAATAGATTGATTTTAACCAACATCTCCCCATTTTCTCTAACCCCCTTCTCCTGGAAACCACTAATCTACTCTCTGCTTCTTTGATTTTGACTATTTTAGATTTCACATATAAGGGAGCTCAGGCAGTATTTTTCTTTCTGTGTCTGGCTTATTTCATGCAGCATAATGCTCCCCAGGTTCATCCATGATTTTACAACCTCAATCTAAAACGGTCATGTCAAAAAGCCCCCTTCAAATAAAAATGAAAGGCAGGCTGTAAAATGAGAAAAATATTTTCATCATACATGACAGAAGGTTAATGTTCTCAGTACATATAAGCCATTGCAAACAATAAGATGACCATACCAGTAGAAACATCATAAAAAGTTATAAAGAAAAAATCAGAAAAGATGATAAAATAAAGACTACGTAACATGGAACCCAAATCAACTCTACTCATAATAAAAGAAAACAAATGGATCATATATACTTTTTGTCTATCTTATCAGCAATGAATATACTAGTTAATCAATCAACTAAGATCAGTGATGTTGCAGGTTTGGGGAAAGGGCATTTTATACATGGCTAGTGAAAAGTTAAACTGACATGAAGGCAAACAATTTCATCATAAGAATAAAAAGCCTTAAATCTCTGCACAATGTCTGTCTAGCAATCATAATGTCAGAAATTTATACTAAAATCAAATCAAACCAAGTACAGACCTAGCAAAGATTTAGCTTTAGAAATCTTTATTAAATTGTTATTTATAATAGATAAAAATAAATAGGTAATTTATTCAACAAGAGAATATTAGATAAGTAAGTTAGGGCACTTTCCATGACTGAATTTCTCACCAGATTAGCATTGAAGGCCTTTTGAATTCTGGCACTAGCCTATGGATTCAGGCTTTATGAGATGAAGGTCGAGATAAACGAGAGGTTGTACCAGTTGTAAGAGCCTGGTAATGAATTGGAACAACTAAATGAAGGACTGAAATTAATCTTTTATTCTTAAAAACAATCACAACCTTGTTGGCACAGAACAGATTTCCACAGAAATGGACCCACATTAAGAACATGGGTGCATGGCTTTCACCCATGAGGAAGAAACCCCACTGATGACTTTGAAATGTTATCTTATCACTAAAAATGGATGCATGAAAAGGCCAGTTGTAAGGAAAGTCCTTTCTGAAAAAGATTCTAACATTTCTCTTTCTACAATTAACATGCTGTAAAGGAAATCTTCTAGATCTTCATTGGAATCCAAAAATCTTTACTAATCCTTAAGTAATTATTTCGCAACAATTCTCTAATAATCACAAACTTTCATAAGGAGCTAGGATTACACAAAGGATTCATGTGAGAAGATACTTATGTTTTCATTCAGAACCCGTACTCTCAAAAAATTGTACACATACAACACAGAGAAGACCAGTAAGGATTCTGCAGCATCTTACTACACTGATGGACAGTGACTGTAATGGGATTTGTGAGGGGGACTTGGTGAAGGGGGGAGGCTAGTAAACATAATGTTCTTCAAAAGAAAAATTGTACACATAATTGTACACCTAATTACTATATATATAAACTTTAATGGTTGTTAAGGTGGAACTCAAATCATAGATGATTTATCAGCTCATAATTTAGAGCTACTCTTTTACTAGGAATACTGTTTGAAACAAAGGTGCTTTTCCTTTACTTTTCTATAACAAGAAGAAGAACAGACATGGAACATGACAGGAAGTTGAGTTGCTCCAAAAATATCACAGGATTGGATGACACAAAATCCTTCACCAAACTTTGGACCATGACACCATTCACATTTGGATGTGCTGCAACGGAAGAAACACCAAATCAATATTTAGTAAATATCTACTAAAAGAAAGATATTTTGTTTGATGCTACATAAGACTCGCCATAGTATAAAATATGACCTCTATCATTATTGATCTTATCATCTAATTAAAGAGTTAAAACACATGGAATTAAAAAGTTAAATGCCAAAAATTAAGTAAATACATGTATAAAACAGTCCTTGTTTTCTAAAAGAAAAAAGTTTCGATGTATAACAAGAAAGCACTATATGGTAGATCCCAAATAGAAATGAGCAATTATTCTTGGACAATGTGATCACAGGAAAATTTTAATTTCTTTATAATGTTTTTCTGTATTTCCCAAATTTTCTAATATGTATTGTTCTTATAACTCAAAATAAATGTATCACTTTAAAAATAAACAGACTGTAGAAGACAACATAGGCAAAAATCTCCTGAATATAAGCATGAGCAACTTCTTCCTGAATGCATCTCCTCAAGCAAGGGAAACAAAAGCAAAAATGAACTAACGGGACTACATCAAGCTACAAAGCTTCTGTACAGCAAAGTACACCATCAACAGAACAAAAAGGCATCTTACAGTATGGGAGAATATATTTGTAAATGACATATCCAACAAAGGTTAACACCCAAAATATATAAAGAACTCACATGCCTCAACACTCAAATAGCAAATAACAAGATTAAAAAATGGGCGGAGGATATGAAGAGACAATTCTCTAAAGAAGAAATTCAGATGGCCAAGAGGCACATGAAAAGATGCTCCACATCACTAGTCATCAGGGAAATGCAAATTTAAACCACAATGAGATATCACCTCACACCAGTTAGGATGGCCAGCATTGAAAAGACTAAGAACAACAAATGCTAGTGAGGATGCAGAGAAAGGGGAACCCTCCTACATTGCTGGTGGGAATGTAAGCTAGTTCATCCATTGTGGAAAGCAGTATGGAGGTTCCTCAAAAAACTAAAAATAGAAATGCCATTTGACTGGGGAATCCCACTCCTTGGAATTTACCCAAAGAATACAAGTCCTCAGATTCAAAAAGACATATGCACCCCTATGTTTATCGTAGCACTATTTACAATAGCCAAGATATGGAAGCAACAACCTAAGTGTCTATAATAGATGAATGGATAAAGAAGACGTAGTACATATACACAATGGAATACTATTCGGCCATAAGAAAGAAACAAATCCTACCATTTGTAACAACATGGATGGAGCTGGAGGACATTATGCTCAGTGAAATAAACCAGGCGGAGAAAGACAAATGCCAAATGATTTCCCTCATTTGTGGAGTATAACAACGAAGCAAAACTGAAGGAACAAAACAGCAGCAGACTCAGAGACTCCAAGAAAGGACTAGTGGTTATCAAAGGGGAGGGGTGTGGGAGGGCAGGTGGGGAGGGAATGAGAAGGGGATTCATGGGTATTATGTTTAGCGCACATGGTGTGAGGGGTCACGAGGAAGACAGTATAGCACAGAGAAGGCAAACAGTGAATCTATGGCATCTTACTACACTAATGGGCAGTGACTGCATTGGGGTATGGGTGGGGACTTGATAATATGGGTAAATGTAGTAAACACATTGTTTTTTCATGTGAAACCTTCATAAGAGTGTATATCAATAATACCTTAATAGAAAAAAAATAAAGGGACTATCAGAACCTAGTGCAAGATTGGTGTTCATATTTATTTTTAAATTCTCACAATTCAGTTTTTAAAAAAAAGACATCAACCCATTAGTACATTAACATTGGTACATGAACAGACTGTTCACAGAAGAAACCTGAATGTGCAGAGAACATTGGGAAGTAAGATTTCCCAATCTCATTAGTAATTAGGGAGTACAAAACAAAACAGCAAAGCAATATCTTTTCATAATCATCAGATGGGCAAAATGTGAAAGGATGACAGTACAAAACTTGGTTAGGAATAAACTTTTGTGCTTTTTTGGTGGAGTATAAAATGGTATAATTACTTTGGAGAGCAAATTAGCAATTTTTACTTTAGTTTATGATGTATGTATTCCATAACCAAGAGGTACTTGCACATTTGCATAAGGAGATACGCTTTAAAAATGTTCATTTCTGAGTTCTTGGTAATAATGAATTGTTGGAAACGACCCAAATATCCATCCTCAAGAGAAAGGATAAACAAATTGTGAAAGATTCATTCTGAAATTATACCAGAATTAATGAACCAGAGCTACATAAATCAAAATGGTTAAATCTAAAAAAATGTGAGACATAAAAATTAGTCACAGAAGGATATATTTTATGATATTTATATAAAGTTTAAAACATTAAAAAGAATGCTGCATATTTGTTAGAGACTTTTTCTAACACCAACCAATTCTCCAAGTCTCTGCAGATTCAGCTAGGTGTCCTACAATTCAATTCAATTGTGATGCTAATTGCCTAGAGTTACCATCAGACTCCACAGGTTCAAGGGCTCAGTCCCACAAGATTGCCCTCCCTTCAGAGGCAGTTGTAAGTGTCCAATCCCCAGGTGACCCACACTTCTCTCGACTTGGCTACAAAATGGGAGTTCCCATGACCACCCCTAGGCTTGGTAATTTGCTGGAACAACTCACAGAACTCTGGAAAATGCTATGTTTGTTTTTATAGTATATTGTAAAGGAAGGATACAAATGAAAAGCTGGATGAAGAGGTCTAAATATGTTCTGAGGACAGGAACCTTTGTTCCTGTGGAGTTGACGTGTCCACTCCCCAGGAAGAAGTGTTCAGTAACTTGGAAGTGCTCTGAAAGCCATTGTTAGGAGTTTCCTGGAAGTTACATTACATAAGAATGATTGATGAATGACTGGCCATTGATAATTGAACTCAGTGTCCAGTCCCTCTCCTCTCCTTAGAGGTGGAGGCAGGTGGAGCCATAATTTCCAAGCCTCTAACCACCAAGGCTTAATCTTTCTGGCCACCAGCCCCACCTTGAAGCTACTGAGCTTCCCCCACTTCATATCCAATCCAGAAAGTTATCTATGAGCATAAATTCAGGTTCTGTTGAAAGGGGCTTATCATGAATAAAAGAAGACGCTCCTATCAGTCAGAAAATTCCAAGAAACTTGGGATTTCTGTGCCAGAAACTAGGGGCAAAGACCAGATATTTTTTCTCATACCACAGTATTGTTTATGGAAACACACAGATGTAGTAAAAGTAAATATGTAGGGGAATCCCAACTACAAGTTAAGAAAAATGTTTACCTCTGGAGAAGAAGCAAATGAGACTGAAAAACAGTCAAAAGTAGCCGTAATTGTATTTGTAATGTTCTACTTGAAAAAAAATAAAGATCTGAAGCAAATAGAACAAAATAAGATTTGCAAAGTCATTAGGTACTCAGCTTTAACTATATTCATTATATACATATATGTATATTAGTAATGCCTATATGTATCTCACAATATATATTAATTAAAACAATGTATGCTAAATTGAATACTATATAAAGGAAGTTGTCTAGATATGGTACATGCCATAACTCAGGAAGGCTGAGATGGGAGTCAAATCAAAGCTTCTGAAACTGATTTCATAGAGACAGGTCAGACCAGTGCAGGTAAGGCAAGAGTGGTAGTGAATGGCAGCAGCTGTGCAGGCACCAGAGAGCAAGGAAGAGCAGAGGGAGGAAAAGGAAGGACATTGAGCTCCTGCGCAGCATAGGGCAAATCCCTGGCAAACTCCTGAGCCAGAGTCACCCGGCTTCCAGTGTCTACTTGAATCTGGAAGGTGTGGGAACTAAGCCCCCACCACCCCAGGATTAGGGGGAGCCACAGAGCATTGGATGGAGTGAGATTATGTTCTGAGAACTTTCCAAAAGTGAAGAAAGGAGATTTGTGGGCAGGCTACTAAAAAAGCATGATCACACAGCTGCTGCAGTCCTGTCTGGGTCACCCAGGAGATGGGAACTTGCAAGCCCAAATCAGAGATCTCAGTAGCCCTTTCCTACTTGTCTGAAGTAGGACAGAGAGAAGACTAATGCTTAAGTCTAGAAAACTGAATGAAATAGTGAACAAACATGCTTACCACTGGAAGATCTCAGAGACAAAATGCAGTAAGTTGAGCAGTAAGAAGTCTTTAAGACAAACGTATACACTTGAAGAAAGAGGAGTGCAGGCAACCTCAGAGGCATGCTTAAGGGGCTTACGATTCTGTCTTTTAAGGCTTTCAAGAATGGGGCAAAGGGTAGAGGGGAAAGGGGGGTCAATGTAGGCTTGACATGTGAGCTCATGCTGTCTATCTCCAGTGACAGACATTATGTCACCATCCATGATCAGTCCTCTAGATATTCTGTAAGATAAATGTAATACAAGGAATTTCTTGATCCTGTTCTTCTTCAAGATAGTGATTACCCTCAAACAGTGGATACATATCATTTAGAACTGTTTGCCCTGCCTTAAGGTTTGGTTATTGGCTGATTACCATAAAATATGTAGGACTCTTACCTCCTAAATTTCCTGGTTTTTAAAATGGAATCTTAGCCTTAAGATGGAGTCCCTCCTCTTCTTACTATACTATTTATATTTCCACATTTTTCATCATAGGCAGAAAAAGTTAATCATGATGCTTGCCCCATGTCCCTACCCTACAACAGGGGAACAGGGGAATGGAGAGATGTTGGTCAAAGGGTACAAACTTTCAATTATAAGCTGAATAAGTTCTGAGGATCTAATGTACAGTATGGTGATTATAGTTAATAATATTTTATTGCATACTTGATATTTGCTGAGAATAAATTTTAAGTCCTGCATAACACAAAAATGTTAACTGCATGAGGTGATGAATGTATTAGTTAACTTCATCTTAGCATCATTTCACAATGCATATATATATAAAAACACTTTAAATACACACAATTTTGTCAAAAACAAAGAAGTTGAGGCTTTTGAAACAAGCCTCTTCTCGCTAGGAATTGTAAGGGAGGGAAAGATTGCTTCCCCCTACCCATTTTAGGTCCATGGCTGTGGCCCTTGAAATTAAACTTGTCAGTTTAAGTTTGTGAAACAGATTCACAAGAGAAAAATCGATTTAATTATGTACATATGGGACTTTCACAAAGAAATGAGACTCAAAGAGGCAGCCAGATGATTGAGTGTTACATGCCAACTTAGCCTAAACAAAGGGAAGGAGATCTGGGGCTTCTGGGCTGGGGAGACAAGTTATGGGAAGGTGGGTGAAGGAAATGTATGGTAAATAAGCATTCTCCTATTATGTGAAAATACTACACTTCTGTTAATTTATGAAACTTTGACTTACTGTTTATATTTTTTGTGTTTTTCTTTTAAGGGTTCTTTCTCTACCATGAAGTCATACAACAGTCTCCAATATTTGCTTGTAAAGGCTTTAAAGTTTTGCTTTTCAGATTTAATTCATTACTCCAGCTGGAAATGGTTTTATGATGATGTGTTCATAGCAGGAATCTAATTATATATTTTTCCTTTATAGGTGACCAAATATCTCACTATCATTTATTGAAAAATCTGTCCTTTCCCTACTGACCCACAGTGCTATTTTGTCCAATATTAAGTTTCCACATGTGCATGAGAACATAACTATGCTGTATATTCTCTTCTATTGGCTAATTTGTCTTTTGTTGCATGTAAAAATAACTGTATTGCTTTCTATAACTTTATACTGTCTTTATCTCTGGTAGGCAAGTCTCTTATGTTAGGCTTCTTTTTCAGGTTTGTCTTGGCTATTTTGTAGTCTCTATTTTTCCATACATATTTTATAATCATCTTATCAAGTTTACCAGAAAATTCTGTAGGGTTTTAACCAGAATTGCATTGAATATGTATTCTGTATATGGGAAGAATGGATATATTTTTGGCAATGAATCTTATTAGACCTGAATATGTGTATCTCTCTTATTTAATTCAGTCTTCTTTGCCTTTTTGTAAAGTTTTACTTTTTTTCTCCATAAATATCTTGTACACATTTCACTTGATAAAAATCTTGTACATATTTCACCTAGGTACAGTATGTTTTTTCTTGCTATCATAAAAAAGTATCCTTTAAAAACCGCATTGCTAACCTTTTAATGTCTGGTTTTAGTTACATCTTCCTTTTAACACCACACCATAGACATTGTTGTTATTATTTCATTGGTCTAAGAGATCAGGTTTGTTTAACTACATAGTTTCCAATTTCTTTTCCCTCCATCCCTCTTACTTCTCAAAATTTGCTTCTGGATTCATTGTCCTTCTTTCTGATGCACATTTTTTGCAGGTTCCTTTGTGAAAACTTAGGGGGAGTAGATTCTCTCTTTTATTTTCTCTGAAAGTAAATAATACTTTCTCTGAAAGTATTTTCTCCCTTGTCTTAAAAGTTCGTCTTGGTGGGCAAAATAACATTTTTTCAGGTATCACCCCAGTTGCTGGCAGTTGATTTGTTGTTCTTTATAAGTGGTGTTTCCCCCCCCCCAGCTTATTTTAAGTCTTTGCCCTTGTCTTTGGTGTTTACTTCTCTGTGTAGAGATTTCAGCACCTGTGAATTCACATCATTCATTGCTTCTAAGAATTTACAGCATCATATCATCAAATAATGACTCCCAACATTCTCTTTATTCTCCCTTTCTGGAACTCTAAATTTAGGTTAAATCTTCTCCTTTTATTGTCCATATCTCTTTACTGTCTGTCTACATATACACAGTAATTTCTTCAGATCTTTCTTCATATGTGTATAATTGTCTAACCCATGTATCAAGTTAATTTCAACAATTGCACTTTTAGTTTCTAGAACTTCATTCCAAATTTATTTTTCACATTTTCCCAGGAATATTTGACGGTTTTTAATTCCTTAACCATTAAAAAATATATATTTTTTATTTCTTTAAACACTTAAAGTAGGTATTTCATCTTATGCACACAATTCTAATATCTTAGACCCTTGGAGATTTGTAGCTGTTGATTGTTTTTGGTGACTTTTACTCTTGTGGCTTATGCATTTGGAAACTTTTTTACATTGTGAGATAATATTTACTTGAACTTAGTTTTCTGAAGTCTTCAAAGTTTAAACTGAGGATGTTTCCCTCAAAAATGTTTGTTCTGCTGGAAGGGAGCTATTCACTGCTCTGGGACTGCTTAGCCCTTTTGTGAGTATAGATTTGATTCAGGAATGTCAGGTTCAGCTTCCCTGCTTGGGGATGAATTCAGATCTCTTGATTCCATATCTGTTTACCACTCACTAGTTACATTTTATTTCCTTTTAAGATGTTTTGTCCTTGGAGATTTTTCTTACTTTCTCATGTGTATTCAAATCTCATGAACACTGACATCTCAATGCATTAAAATTAAAAACTCTGCTCAGATTTTCCTTTATTGAATCAATATTGGTAATTTGTATACTCCTAGGAAAGCATTTTAGTTGGGCATACAAAAAATATTTGTTACATCAATAATATGAGCATTTATGAACAGTTCTGCAATAAAAATAGTTTTGCACCATCTGAAGGAAATGAGATAAGTCTGAGTAGACTATAGTGTGTGGTGTTTTAAGACCCCTAATTCTCAGTGTAGGCAATGATTTTCATACAGCCTTTGATCGCTGAGGAAAAGAAGTTGCTCTATGTCTGTTCTCTTCCTGGTCTCTCTGATGTTAGAGTAGAGTAAAGCATTTCCCTGCATAGTGTGCCTGTGACTAAAGAGTCTTTTTCTGAGAACCTACTTTTATCCTTAGTAATTCATAGAAAAGATTTATACTACAACTGTATAGATGTTGTATACAGCTACACCTCAGCAATCTGTACCTCACATTGAATTCAAGTAATAATTTGAGAATATTAGAATATCAGCAATCTGTACCTCACATTGAATTCAAGTAATAATTTGAGAATATTAGAAGATGTGCTGAATTCAGACTACAGTAATATGCCTGAAGAACCAAAAGAAGCAATTTGAAGAACCATGCATCTGTTTTGGTGTGTGGTGTAGGTGTTCGGTGTGGGGTGTATGTGTGTGCATGAATAGTAAAACCCATCTGGGCCTCTAATGAAGAACATACTAAGTGCTTAAAAGTGCATTTTGGTTAAAAGGACTTCAGAATTTGCTCACCACATTAGTAAGTTTTGCATTTCCACTGGGATCACATCATAGTATTTGTGTAGATCATTTTTTAAAAAGAACAAAGAAGTAACTTGAGTAAGACACTGTGGACTATTTAAAGAATTCTCTTTCCAAAATATAGGATAGATGAAATTATTCTCAAATAGGATTTTTTTTCACGTTAAGTTTCAAAATTGCAGCTGGGAAAGTAGTCAATTCATTCTCATCAACAACCAATTTATTGAGGAATCTGAAAATAAAGGAAACCATATTTTAAAAGGTATTTATGCAATTTATAATACTTGAAGTAAGATTCTGTCCCAATGTTCCTGAAAACTGGTATCAAACTTAGTGGCAGTAAAATACAAGTATTTAAGTATTTCCCTGGAATCAAGAGAATTAACTTAAAAAAGCCCCTGAACCAATACATTATTATGCAGATAAGCACACTTGTGTAAATGCAGTTTGGGTCTTTGCAACAAACATGTCATCACTATGAAAAAAGAAAAAATATTCATAAATGGCAAGACAAATGAAATGTTATACTACATAAATATAATATGGTTTAGTATGATGATGCAAAGGAAGAACATATTTTCAAAGATAAATTGAACATCAACACTTTATTTTCATTCAAGCCCAATCAAAACAGTCGAATTAACATTATCAAAGTGAATCATGTGCTAAGTTGTATTTTTGACTTTTCATCACCTGAGTCCCCTTGATTTTTACTGTGTCAATTGGTTCTACTAACTCTTTTCTTGTGTTCAAAGAGAACCAACATTATTGATTTTCTCATTTTATACCACTTATCTTGAAGGTCATTTACTTTTACATTACATTACATTTATATTAACAGTCATTTACTCACTTCTAATTGGTGCTGGAAACCAACAGAAAAGTATCTTCTCATAAGAGCTCTGGAAAAATCAAATTAAAGGCCAGTCCAACTTGTCAAATGTATTAGGATGAAGAGGCTGATATATGGACTATAGGTAATAAGAAGCTTAGGGTCTCAAGATTCACATTTGCAGTCAAGTTTCACATTATCTTATACATACAATTTAAGTAATTTAATTATGACTCCTGCTGACAATATTAAAACATGGTCAAAGAAGGCATTTAAAATAGCAAGGCTAGGAAGATGGCCCCTCAGCTGTCTTCAACCTTCAACCACAGTTTGACTACTGCCCTTCTCATAGTACTGAAAAGGTGAGTGAGACCCCAGGCTCTGCTTCGGTCCTGAAGGTCCAAAGCTGGCATGGCCACTTCTTCTTCTGCACCAAAACAAGCCTCAAGGCCAGCAACCTAGAGACCCATGGACACCCGACTAAGTGCGGGCACTCTAGGGAAATGCCAGTAAGAGTCCCCTGAACACTCATGGGTGAGGCTGCCCTGCCTCCATGGGTTTATGTCACAGGCCCCACCTGTGACTATTCCTCTCCATGAGTTCTGGGAGAGCTCAGTAGACCAAACAATCTTTAAAGCTGGAAGAGCTCCATGCTGGGGCAGCCTCTGCAGCTGAGCATCCTGGGGGACAGAGAAACTTACTCCTTCTACGCCACTCAACTCACATTCACTCACATGTGCTGTGCATGTGTTGCCCAAAAGGCAAAAGCGAGGTCCTGCTAGGAATCCTTTGTAAAAAAGAGGCATGTGTCAAAGGTCCTGACCATGTTTTTGTGAGTACGTCCCCCTCTTTGGTGAAGACCCCTCAGGCTTTTCTTCCACTACAGCCCTGAGCCTTCCATGCCACTGTGGAATTGGACTGATAGTAAATGATTATTTGGGCAGTGGACACATGTAGGGCCAGAGGAAAAGCAGGTAAGGCCAGAGTAATAATAGCTTAGCTTAGATGTAAATCAGGATCACAGGACTTCAGCTTCCCCTGAAGGGCTGTAGATAAAGCCTTGTCCCATGTTCTTGAGCAGTTTCACAAGAGCCGAGATCCCACCAGATGGATTCATGCTTCCCACAAGCATGTAGAACCCAGACGAGTTGGAGCCCAGAAGACTGATGATTAAGATTCCAGAAATATCTCCTGGTGACCTCATGCTCAACCAACCAGATGTCCACAGGCTGGTACACAATGTAGGAGGAGTGATCAACAGACACACCTGCAGGCTGTAGGTGTAATGACGTACTCGGCAGCCCACTTCTCCAGCTCCACAGCCTTTCACACTGAAACCTCGCCCTCCCTTCCAGAGACCCTGCTTTGGGAACTATCCCCAGTAATAAAGCTTGTGCCAACTAGTAAAACTTGTTTCTAGTCGAACCTTGCTTAATGTGACTTTGTTTGGCTCAAGCTCACCAAGGAGCAAAGCCACTGTGTTCAGTAACAAACTGTGCTCTGAGATTGCTGCTGGACCTGACCAGCAGACAGGGCAGCCGGGGGAGAATAACAAACAGAACGCACCAAACAGAGTTCTGGAGGCAAACACACCCTGTGGGCACAGACAAGAAGTTGAGGGAGGAAGGCAGGAAAAACACTTAATAAGATTCAGATACAGCACACACATACACATACACGCACAAAGACTTTCTTGAATCAAAATACATGATTGGTAAAATTAAAAAGTTAACTGGATGAACTAAAGAAGAACATGGTCTTCATAGAGCTCTGAGTTAGAGGTAAAGACAAAGCAGAACTCAGAGCGAAAATATAAAGAAAAATCATAAAGGAAAAAATATAAGTGCCATGGAAGACAGTCCAGGAGACCTAACATATTGATAACAGGTATTTCATGAAAAGAAAATGAATCAGATGGAGAAGGAGAGGCAATAATTAAAACATATTACCTAAACTAAAAAAAAGTTTGAGATGGCTGATTAAAGAGTTCACTAAATTCTAGGAAAGATTGATTTCATATTGTGAATTGTAAAAAAATATATGTTTTGTCACTAGGTGATCAAAATTTATTTCTCGTATCTATTAGGTCTTGGTCTATAGTTGCTGGCTCACAGCTCCCAAAACCCTTGAAATTTCCTGAGCAATAAAGAACAATAGGGGCATCTTGGTCTTCCTCAGTTTATGAAATCACTTCGGAGTCATAAACATGAAATGGGTGTTTGTTATTCATAACAAGGCCCTTTCCACAGCAGCTGGGTTTAGGTTGAGGAGATGACTTCTGGAAAACGCTTAAGGCTGGTTGCAGGGGAATGAACCCTGACTAGACGAATGGAACTTTTGGTTTCACCTCCCTGATTCCAGGGAAGCCACAGGGGTGGGAGGCTGAACAAGTCACCAAGCAAGTGCCAAGTGATTTAATTAATCATGCCTGTGTAATAAAACCTCCATTAAAAAAAAAAAGAGGAGGAGGGCGGAGCCAGGATGGCAGCGTGAGTAGAGCAGTGGAAATCTCCTCCCAAAAACACATAGAGCTATGAAAATATAACAAAGAAAAATCTTCCTAAAATAGAGACCACAGGACACAGGACAACATCCAGACCACATCCACACCTGCAAGAACCCAGCGCCTTGCGAAGGGGGTAAGATACAAGCCCCGGCCCGGCGGGACCCGAGCGCCCCTCCCCCCGGCTCCCGGCGGGTGGAGAGAAACCGGAGCGGTTTTTTTTTTTGGCGAGCGCTTTTTGGAAGCCTTAGAGGGACGGGCCCCCGTTGCTGGGGAGGCAGGGTGGCGGGACCGGTGAGGAGGTGCCTGGGAACGGCGCCGGAGGACAAAGAATATCCCGCGTTTCTCCCTGCGAGACCTGGGGGCGGGTGCCTGAGACCGGTGCCTGAGGACGGAGGAGGTCGCGCGTTTTTCCCCTTTTTTTTTTTCTCTTTTTGGCAAGCGCTTTTTGGAAGCCTTGAAGGGACGGGGACCCCAGTGCTAGGGAGGCACGGTGGCGGGACTGGTGAGCGGGTGGCTGGGACCGGCGCCTGAGGACAAAGAATATCCCCCGTTTTTCCCTGCGGGACCGGTGGGCGGGTGCCTGAGACCGGCACTTGAGGACAGAGGAAATCGCGCGTTTTTCCCCTTTTTTTTTTCTCTTTTCTGCGAGTGCTTTTTGGAAGCCTAAAAGGGACAGGGACCCCGGTGCTAGGGAGGCAGGGCGGCGGGACTGGTGAGCGGGTGCCTGGGACCGGCACCTGAGGACAAAGAATATCCCGCATTTTTCCCTGTGGGACCGGTGGGTGGGTGCCTGAGACCAGCACCTGAGGACGGAAGAAATCGCGCGTTTTTCCCCTTTTTTTTCTCTCTTTTTGCCAAGTGCTTTTTGGAAGCCTTGAAGGGACAGGGACCCCGGTGCTAGGGAGGCAGGGCGGCGGGACTGGTGAGCGGGTGCGTGGGACCAGTGCCTGAGGACAAAGAATATTGAGCGTTCCTTCCCTGCGGGACCGGTGGGTGGGTGCTTTTTGGAAGCCTTGAAAGGACAGGGACCCTGGTGCTAGGGAGACAGGGCAGCAGGACCAGTGCGCGGGTGCCTGGGACCGGCACCTGAGGAAAAAAAAAAAAAAACCCGTGTTTTTTCTTTTTTTTTTCCTTTCTGTTCCCTCTCTCATTGTTGCTGTTGTTGTTTTGGTTTGGAGAGTGCTTTTTGGAAATCTTAAAGGGGCAGGACAGGTCACTTAGACCAGAAGCAGGGAATCTGGGGATCTCTGGGCACTCTAACCCCCTGGGCAGCAGGGAGCACAGAGGCCCCTTACGGAGATAAATAGTCTCCTGGCTGCTCCCCCTCCAACGGGGCTCCACCATTTTGGAGGAACAGCCCCAGCCAGGCCAAGCCCACAGCAACAGCGGAGATAAACCCCAAAGCAACTGGGCAGGAAGCAGAAGCCCTGTCTGCGCACAGCTGCCCAGCACAAGCCACTAGAGGTCGCTATTCTCCCAGGAAAAGGCTACAAACCAACAAGAAGGGAAGCTCTTCCAGCGGTCACTTGTACCAGCTCTGCAGACTATCTCTATCACCATGAAAAGGCAAAACTACAGGCAGACAAAGATCACAGAGACAACACCTGAGAAGGAGACAGACCTAACTAGTCCTCCTGAAAAAGAATTCAAAATAAAAATCATGAACATGCTGACAGAGATGCAGAAAAAAATGCAAGAGCAATGGGATGAGATGCAGAGAAAAATGCAAGAGCAGTGGGATGAGATGCAGAGAAAAATGCAAGAGCAGTGGGATGAAGTCCGGAAGGAGATCACAGATGTCAGGAAAGAGATCACAGAAGTGAAACAATCCCTGGAAGGATTTATAAGCAGAATGGATAAGATGCAAGAGGCCATTGAAGGAATAGAAGCCAGA